CGAGGAAAATTCCGCGTGGGTAAAAGCTCGCCTGCTGCACGTGCAGCCTCCAACCCGACGGTAGCTTAACGCTCAAATTAACGTCAGGTTAAACTTGACGTTATAATTAAAAACGTTACAGAGTCGCTACGCTAGTTAATCCCCTCGGTATCAAAAAATCAAAATTTCTGTAGCTCTGTAATGTAATAAGTTTCTGTAGCTCTGTAATAAAGTTTTTATATCACATTAACAACGTAATGTATAAAAAAATTCAAGTTTCTCATCTTTGAATTATTAAATTGAATTTTAAATCGTTTGTATTATAAATTATTGTCAGTACCAACAGAAGCAGCACTGATTATTCTATTCTCGTGTAATTCCTCTTTGCATTTTAAGGTATCTCGATCTTTACATTTCGGATTTATTCATGAAAATGTGAGGAGGAGATGATACTGGAAATACCGCAGGGAAATCGAGTCTTGATCAATCGGCATTCGAGTGCCGATCGCACAATCTCCTGCATTCTCGACGAGTTACGCTTGGTGGAAAAATAAGTTGTTCACCTGCAGACTAGCGAGCACGTCTAGCAAGCGCGAATCCAATAGCTCTTCGACGCGAAAATAGAACAACGCCCATCAGCGTCGCGTTCGAGAAGAAACGATGTTCTTCGAAAACGGCCATTTCCAAAGAGATGATAAAGAGCGTGAGGACTAGACATATGTCGCGATTTCAATATCAAAAGATTACAAGAAACCATACATTAGGAAAAAAAATTTAATGCCTTCAGCAAAGCTGTTTAGTTGAGACATTTTTTAACATCGAATATTTTATATAACAATATATGTTTATAAATATATATATATAACAAAAAAATTAGTTACTTTTGCAAAATAATTTTTCTGATTTATAAATAATAAAAATATTTGTTTATATCAACTAAATAACTTAGTTCGCATAAAATTAACAATTTTGTTTGGTACATTTTAACAAAACATTTTTGATGTTATAGCATAAAATGCTGCTCGTTCATACACTAGAAAAAATTAGAGTTGGAGAGAATGATTGAATCTCAACAAGCGAACTTGAGAAGAAATTGAGTGAGGCGAGTGTGCTTCACTAAATAAAAATTGTTAAATAAAACATAATTTCGGCGAGCGTGCCCTATTAAACAAAAATTACAATGAAACAGGATTCGGAAAGTTATTTTGTAAATGTGACTAGTTACAGTTCTTTTTTCTCAAAAAGTAACCAGTTACCAATTTTGAAAAGTACCACGTTACAGTTACCTAAAAAGTAAAACTAGTCGTTACTAGTCGTGTTTTTAAACACTTGAATAAAATCGTATTTTCCGTATCAGTTCCTCAAATTGGGAGTGGGACAGTGACCACATGGAGGTAAGCCCATATATATATATATATATATATACTTTTACTTTTTTTAATGCCTGTTCAAATTAAAACTAGCTTTGCTTTATTAAAGTACACCTTACACTATAAAAACATCTCGAAAAAACGCGCTGCACAAAACACCATACTTTTGTCCATGTATACCTCCTATACATATAAAAAATAAGAATAAAGACCGTTTTTCCGAACAAATGAATTTTCTGCGAGAACCTCGAGACAGTCTTCGACAGAACCTACCTCAAAGTTTCACGAAACACCACACGGAACGCACGCAACACCGGACGATACGTACAGAAACTTAAAGATCTCGCCTAATCGAAAGGATTCATTCATTCACGAGAACAACCGCAATCGACGAGCACACAGAGAACATTGCACAGAGAGAACTCGGCAACAAACTCACGATATGAACATTTTAATCCGGCACGCGCACGGACGCGACGCAGCGACGTTACGACGAGCTAGCGTGAACTTACACGACAGCGAGAACGGAGGGGCTTTCCCCTCTTTCTCGCTCTTGTCTGCCCTTGAAACTTTTGGTCTACGTGCCTGACCCCCGTTTACCCGACACCGAACCGAGAGAACTGCCCTTGATGGCCCGACAGGGAAGGCCCGGGCGACGGTAGCGTAGAAGGAAAGCGATGGAGGAGTTGCGGAGGAGGCTTCGAACGAGAGATCCACGAATGGTGCTGTGTGGTGGGGTCCTCTAAACGAACCGTGCCGCGTTCGTTCTCCTCTCCAGGAAAGGAAGAAGGGGAACGACACGGTGGAGGACACGGTCGCGGCGCCAGTGAACTAAACGGACGAACGGATGGACGCACGCCCATGGCCGATTGTTCTCCGATCTCATGAATTTCAAGGACGTCTACGCCAAACCGGCTAGGGGGGATGGTAACGACGAGGGTGGGGAAGGCAGGCGGGGGCGGGGAATCGAGGTTTAGAAATCTTCTTTCTTTCGTTCCATCTATTGTCCGCGTCTTCCCCCTTTTCTACATCTACCTCACACTTTCAGTCTTGAAAAGTAACTTTAATCGTTTGTTATAATTTTCGAGATGTTTTTATACGGTACAAATAACATAGGAATATCTCTGTAAATTATTTCGTATCACTCGTACCTGGACCACCAACTTTAAGATTCGTCACGTCAAGAAATGGTAACGTATCATAGATCGAAATTTGGAACAGAAATCTGAGAAGAGAAAGAATTCAGACACGACATAAAAGAGCTCATTGTTCAAAACGTATTTCACTGAGTTTAGTTGAATAACCATTTAATAGGTCGAATCACGAAACAGAATAGCTAAAGGATTCACCCGCTCGCGCATTAAGCATCGCTCCGTCAAGACAATGAGCTGTCGCTGACTATACGAAGCGAGCGACGGAATTCGATTATATCCAGAACTCCTTCTTTAGACAAGGGGACAACGAGGGAGAGCATGCTTAAACGCGCGATTTTGCTCCCCCTTCGGATCTCTGACATTCTCTGTTACAAGATGATACACTATAAAGAAAGAGAAAAGACCTTTCAAAATATTCAATACAACGTGAAAGATAAAAACTGCCGTTGGCCAGACGATAATGTAGCTCGAGAAAGGTAACTGTGTATGATATAACTTTGACGTAAAATTAATCTACACCTTAGTGGCCAACCATCCCAAATTAGGAAGGACAATTTTATTCTCAAATTTTATTTATTTTTCTTCGTCCCACTTTACAACACATCCCAAACTTTGTCTCAAATTGAGAATACAGGACATGATTATAATATAAATTGTGTTATAGAAATATTATTTAAATGCGCGAAATAATAAGTAAACAATAACAATAAAACGTTCGTTACATTGCATAGCAATAAATAAACAAATTTAAAAAGAAACGACCAAAAAAACGAGTAAAAAAACAGAAATGTAGAAAAAATACTAAAGTAATTATATATTTCGAATTTACATAAGCGATTGATATTTCGACTTCACAATCTTTTTCAAAATCTACATATATTTTCAACTATATATTATGTGAAGAATTTTATGATTTTTTTATTTTAAGAAATGAAAGGATATTATTCATAAAATATGTTCAGTCGATAAGTACAATTTTAAAATAAAATGTCGTAACTTAACGTAATTTTTGTTGTGATCTCATGCTATGTTATACATTAAATGTTATTAGTGTTATTTACAAATATAATAATATAATACTGTTTTTTATTAACAATTACTTAAAAACGTTTATATATTAAAATTTAATTACAACAATTATTATTAAATTTTTTTAAATGCCCTTTGCCTTTTTAAGGAGTTGGTCACCTTAATGTATATAATGGAATAAAAATTAATGTTTAACAATAATATGATTTCACAAAAACATTTTCTTAATTCGGAGATTAAACCATGGAGATTATTCGTATGTATTTTGACGCTCTGAATCCATCCCGATTGTTCTATCATTACAATTTTTTTATCGATGAAAAATAATTGGATTTTCCAATATTTTTAAACTATCTTGCATATTAACTTTATAAGCTTGCGTATTATCGTTAAATTTACTTTTTCTTTTTTACCTCAGTTTGTATATTAAAAACCAGGCCATAAATGGCTCTATAAAAGTAACAGAAAATGGAGCTATTTTCCGTCGATAAAAAAAATTATGACGTGGTTTGGACATCATTTGATTTTAGAGCGTCAAAATATATAAGAATACCATATTCCTATTTCCAAATCAAGCATTAAATTTTCTTTGTGTTATTAAGGAAATCCTAAAGTCATCTGTATTACCGACTAAATCATATTTTTGTATAACAATTACTTTTTTCCTCTTTTACTGATTCGAAAATCCTTTTCCAGGATTAAAATATACGCATTAATACGTACCTGTGAGGTAGAGTTTATACCGAGAACGTCAAAAAATTTCAAAACTGAGATCTTTCTTAGTTCAATATGACTGTACTTACAAAATAGTCCACAGACTAGTTTGCCCGAAGAAACAACGAAGAATTCTTAGAATTGAACTTAGACGTTTAATTAAAACGTTATTGTTATACGAAAATTTATGTGTATGTGTGGCAAGCGTAAATGAGATATTGATGTAATGGTATGCAGTGATGTGTCAATGACACGTAAATCGTCTGTGTAAGTGCTATTTTTTTTTACAATATGTCTAATCGTCTTTAGAATCCCCTTAATTCTAGAATTAATAATAGTATAATTATTAATTCTATAAATAAAACTGCAATGGTTATTACCTTCATAGTTTTTCTTTGAGTGCAGAAATCTCGAAAATCTCGTGAATTTTTCCACAAAACACTCAATCAGATAACTTTCAGATAATTTATAAATACCTTCATGTACACATGGCGTCACAAATGCCTCAACACACAAAATTGTACGAGTATTGAAGGAATGAGAAGGAACCATAACAAGGCATTTGACGTTGTGTGTACGTTTTTTATCTATTTTCTACATTTTGTCTATACCTCTACATGGACGTACCATAAACAAAAGTTGAAGCTACAAACTTCAATTTTCGCTAAGTTATTAAAGAATCACTAAAAGCGCTGAAGGCACTGAACGTGGAACCTTCGGTTTTATCTCTATCTCTATACATATTCTACTCGACATGCGTTTCTCAGTGCGCGCACGCGCGATGACGTACTGGCGGAGGAATTCCGTGCAGCGCAGCGTGATGCTTCGCGAAGCGCAACCGCGACGACCGCGGCGACGCGACATGCACCGCGGAACGGTCTGCAAGAGAAGCGCAGCAAGTAGCACGACGACATTCCAATTAGACAAGCTCGTTTCCCGTTCGAGTTTCAATCGCACGTGCGCCGGCTCCGCGGCCACGCTCAGTTTTCGCGGGTATATGCAACCTTTCTTTAATCTCTTCTCAGTAACATTCACAGTCATAAGTTAATAACAGGAAATGAAAGAAATAACAGACAACTAATAAATAAAAAAATAATAAAATTTCGCTAGGTTGAGAATAGATTAATTAACAATGGCGATATTTCTTCCTACGTCCTTCTTAGTTCGTAGAGCAAGATATTTTCCATAGAGCATCAGATTTATTTACAGGACGAGAGCGCCACTATATTAATGCTGTTCTATTTTTCATACTTTTTCTGTAATCTCTATGCTTGGTCTTATCAAGAAGCTATGTATTTCGGGGGTTATCTCCATGGCTAGATCCATTGTTAGAATGCTAAAAGTTTCGTGAACATTACAGTTCATTTCATCAGATGAAGGAACAGCCTGATACTATGCTGCTTTTTTGAACGATTTCCTTTATATAACGCTATTCTCAGAGCATAAATATATAGTTTCTTTATAGAATATATGTATGTATATTATATTTATCATATGTATTATACCGGAACGCATAGCTTTTTTATAGAAAGTACTCGTGAAAGCCTCAAAAGTATTATCAAATACCTCTACGAAAAAGTATTCTTGCTACTATAAATAGCTTTCAGCTTGTTTTTATCGTATACTTGTATAATACTATTGGATTTCTAATACTAAAATTAACCGTTAAGTGGCTATCAGTGACTACATACTCGCAACTAAAAACTTACGCCTCATCTACATATAATAGGTATTAATAAGCCTTATTCGCACTTTACCGTTTGTGTATTGTAATGTATACTTATTTGATTATGAAAATTTTATACATATTTTTCAATTATTACTTTTCAACGTCAAAAACATCTTAGGTTTACGAAAATTTATTTTTACAATTGTCAAATCGCCATATTGAATCTACCATTTTGTATTTCGAATTTTTGATATCAAATTTTAATTCAGTGATTTCAAAAACTTCTTACAACAAATCTTTAATAGATTAATCCATTATCTTTAATTTGACTATACCATGTAGCGGAAACCACTAGTAGCTCTGAAACAATATCATATTTTGAGGCAAAGAATACAATGAATTATAATAAATTTTATGTCATAAGGAGCTGTCTGAGCTTAGCAAAATAACGTGCGCTAGTTTAAATAATCATGTAATTCAAATAATAAACAATACAAATGTTATGACATATTTTTGAATTGTTATTCACTGGAGCTTATCTTAATGCATTATCTAAAAAATTTTATTTAAAGAAAAGAAAATTTGAAAAATAAACCCACCCTCCCTATAAAAGCTAAATTCTCATTAATAAACAATAGAATCAATATACTCGAATGAGCCTAAAAATGTAAATAGGAATTAAATCTTTCGTAAAGAAACGTCTACATCTTGAATGCGAAGTATCTTATACGACGGGTATCTTATACATTTTGAATTTGATAGCCGAGATCAGTGAACTGTATAACATACTCGAGCGAGCCATCAAAGAGTGGGGGTGTCTCAATTCCTAAATAAGGACACTCTAATGCAAAGTTGGTAGTGTCTTCTTTGTCAGGGATTCGCTGACTGACTATGCTGTTTTACTATCACAAGTAGAAAAAAGTCAGAAAGACCAATATTGTTTGCCTTCCTTTTCTCCGTCGGGCCGCAGTTTTCTATAATTTAGTATAGGAAAGGCTCACTCCAGTATATTATAGAGCTCACTGATCGAGATCGGATCGCGCGATGACAACGATCTGGCGGCATAAGGAAAAAAATTAGAATTTTCATTCGAGTTGCAGTGCATTCTTAGAAGAGAGTCACTCGCGGTAAATAGAGACGGGCACTATAATTTTGCAAATGCGTATTACTAATCAGCGACATCATTTCGTCGATTCAGGTAAAATCATGTTGATCAATAATACGCGTACCATGGAAAAAACGATTTTGCTAAAAAAAATCTAAAAATTTAGCTGGATATGGGTCTGAAAAAATTTTGTGAGCTATTAGAATAATTACACTGTTCGACAAAAAAATCACTTTTTTTTCTCTTCAAAAAAAAATAGATAATACCCCAATTTTTTCACTCTGACCGTCATTGGTAGAATTTGTGTAGCACTGTTAGCAGCAATAGTAAATTAATTTTTGGTCCATTTTATCCAAGTTTACTAAAAATCCTGATGTGCTATAAAAATTCTGATGACGACATCGGATGTGAAAAAATAATAGTTAGTATGTAGTAATGTAATAAAAGCCAAAACGAATTTCATGGCAAAATATTTCTTCTACAAGACAATATATAGTAAAGTCTGATAGAGTGCAGATATGTAGCTTCACTGCAAATAAGGTGTAAATGAGTTGGTTTATCATTCCAATCGCCCCTTAAACCTCAGGATTACAAAACTACACTTTCGTATGTGCGAATTATATACAAGGTGCTTTCCAATGCTTTCCAATTGCTTAACACATCTTGACACAAACGTAGCAAATTAATTCACATATTTCCGGCGTTAATAAATAATTTAACCTTCTTAATTTACGTATTCTTTGTTACTATAACTTTAAAAGAATTAAATTATTATCACTGAAAATATGTAAATCGATTTGCATTCAATTGCACTAATTGCCGTAATCGTCGGCATAACAGAACACAGCCGACTACTGGTCCTCAGACTGAGTACGGGTGTGTAGTGTTATATCGACGATTACGACAATTCATGCAACTGAGTGCAAATCGATTTACATATTTCCAGTGTTAATAAATAATTTAATTCTTTTAAGATTATGAAGTTATCGCGACAAAAGAATATGCAATTAAAAGGGTTAAATTATTTATTAGCACTGAAAATATGTGAATTTATTTGCTACGTTTGTATAAAGATGTGTTAAGCAAGCACCCATCTCTCTCAAATTCAGCAGAGGATAATGCCACACATAACTCTCCAGCAAAAATGTATATTTTTCGACAAATATATTTCAGAGGAGTTCTACACATTGTAAATATAATTCTAGAATCAAAATTAAAATCTACTGAATTGCAAAATACAAACGTTAAAATAAGGAAAAATTTAAAGATGTTTATAATGGAATTTTCGTTGTTTTACAGACTAATAAGCGTGATTTTACGTTCAAAGAAAAAGACATAATGGTAATAACTATGTATAAAAATAACTATACAAGTTTTATGTATGTAGAATTAATGTACATAGCTTTTTATAGTTGCAATAACTATAAAATAATTTATTCAACCATATATATGTATATTAGTTTATTCACAACTACGTACATTAATTCTAAATATAAAACTTACATAGTACTTACTTTCAATATTGTATACCTTTCTTTTAACTGTTATCACTTTTTCTCTTAGTATAGGATTAAACCTCAATTATCTGCACAGTTTGATAAGATTTCACGAATAAATATGTCACCTACTTTTTATTTTCAAAGTTAAAATCTAGGTTAGAGTCTAGGAGAATCTAGGAATTTTCTCTATTTCAATAAAAGAAAGAGTCGCCGATACATAAGTTTCCTAAAGTGGCCATTGTCGGTATCGGCGATTTTCCTTTATTGATATAAAGAAAATATTTCACGGAAAACTCTTAACTTGCACTTTATTAATACTGATAAAAACATGACCTATTTAGATAATTATTAAAAAAAGTAAAAACTCATAACTCATATATTTGTGGCTTATTTCTATACAAAATCAGCTAAAAATGAATTCTACAAATGCGAAAATAAAATTCTTACGATTTCTTTTTACAAATTCCGTAATTTAAATAATAGTGGTTATATTATTGATAACATTACATAGTTTTACATGTTTGTAGTTTCTTAAATTAGTTTTATTTATATCTTTTTCTTTCTTTCTTATTTATACAAAATCAGGGTGGCGTAAATCAACATACTTATCGATAAGACAGTCTATAAGCTAATTTAATTTTTATAGTGATGCGTTATAGTGTCAAATAACCCTATCGGAACTTAAGGCAATGTCGTGTACTTATAGGAAAATTCTCAAAAAACGAAATTGTTGCGTTATATATTATTTGCGTATTGCAGAATAGCATAAGTATGCAATGTATGCATATAAATGAACAAAAAATGTTTTATATCAAAATGAAAAAATTCTAGAAAATCTTATATACGTTTTCTTGTAGGTATTTTCTACAGATGACTTCTGTGAAAGAAAAAGAACAGGAATACCTTGCAGCATTATTGTCTACTGTATTAGTTTTGAGGCCCATTTTGTCAAACACTGATTTCAGCTTATGAAAAAGTTAATTTTGCAAAATTGTATTATAAAGACTGTTATATTATTTGATAGAAGACATTTTCTGGTTTGTATTTATGTTTCTAAAGTTTTATTTTTAGCTTTTATTTAAGAAATATTGTTCAAAAACAAAATGGTTTATCAGTGACCTTACTGTAATAACAGTAAGCAGTATATAAATAAATTAGTTACTTTTTCTTAACTCATCAAATCAAGAATATAATTGCATACTTAAAGTTGCAAGAACATTAACTATTTTAATTTGAAATTATTTCGTAAAAGAATTTACATTAATTCTCTTATGATACAAATGCAGCGGTGACTAAAAGTATTTCGAATAATTCGAATAATTCCTCGACGAGTATGCAATCTCTATTCAAGTCAACGAGATGTATCTACATTAATCTTTAAACTGCCGGGAAGGCACTTTTGTGGCTCTTGAGTGTGGGTATTAGTATTTAAAATACCATTTTTGGTGGCATTTTAAATACTAATTGTATTAAACATATATATGTGTATGTTGCCCAAAATATATAAAAATATATAAATATTGAAAAATATACAAAAAAAATAAAAAATATAAAAAAATAAAAAAATTATAAAACAAGAAAAAAGTAAAAAAAAATACAAAAATAAGTTTAAGAACCAAAGCCACTTTTATGCACAAATCTCTGCACAAATTTCGATATTCTATGCCATAGGTATGTTACTTATATAAAAAAAATTTCGAGAAAAAAAAC